CTAGTTTGGGAATTTTTTTGTTGTAAGCTACTTTGCTGCCTAATTTATTTAATTAGCAAGCTCATTATAGTGGAATTATGGATTGTGATTTTTAGTTCAGTCTTTCCTAAAACAGGGGTTTGCACTTGAGTATATATAATATAATATAATATAATATAATATAATATAATATAATATAATGTAATATAAATTAATATAATATAATTTAAATATAATTTAATTTATTATAATATAATATAATTAATATAATATAATTTAATATAATATAATTTAAATATAATTTAATTTATTATAATATAATATAATATAATATAATATAATATAATATAATATAATATAATACAAGTATCAGTGAAATGTGGCTATATAGGCCTGGTGGAAGGCTTTAGTGTCCCACCAGTGATGATATACAGCCACATCGCACTGCTACAAGTGTGATATTGCGTTTATACAACAGTTTGACAGCATAATTGTGTATTTAAAAAAGAAAATCAAACATGGAAAATCTCTAAATCCTTTTGTACAAGGAACTGCTTTCTTCCACCATTCATTCACATCTGCAGCTAACGTCAGAACAACAAAAACCGTTGCTACTTCACAAATGTCACTTTAGAGCTAGTTTTTGAATGACTCTCTAGCGTAATGTCTAAACTAAAGTGATGACAAAATCGGGAGATCACAATAAATATCCCCCCAAAAAAGTAACTCAAGGTTACCTAAAGAGGGGCAAAATACATACATTACTGATAGCGGAGTCCCATCTCACACTCAATACACTACAGTTATATGGTATAAATACAGCACTACAATATACAAAAGAGAGAGATCACCTTAGAACATCACTTACCTGTTTTATAATGATTTGATCAGCTGTAATTTCTCTTCTAAGAGCTTATGATGCAGTCTCTGTCACCATCTTGGGTTTGGACAACTTCAACCATCTTAGCTCAAAGACAGGCTAATGGCCGCTGACGCGCTGTCTCAGAAATTAATCATTTTTTAAATGAGCATTATCCTTATAAATAAACTGCATAGTTGCAATCTAAACACTTACAATCTCAACAACAACAACAAAAAAAGCCTCAAAAGTATATTGTTGTCCAACAGCTGCAATATTTGTCAAACTGTAGTGTCCTCGGTTTGTTGCTGTATGTGAGTGGAATACACAAAGGTGAAGGGTGAAAAGGCTGGACAAGTGCTATTATTTGCAGAATACTGCAGGGCTATCAGTAAATCAGAGTCAAGAAACAGACAGAACTTTTGTATATATTATAATATAATATAATATAATAAAATATAATACAATATAATGCAATATAATACAATACAATATAATATAATATGTTCCAAAGTGGCGAGGCAGTGGCGCAGTAGGTAGTGCTGTCGCCTCACAGCAAGAAGGTTGCTGGTTCGAACCTCGGCTCAGTTGGCATTTCTGTGTGCCTTCGCGTGGGTTTTCTCCGGGTGCTCTGGTTTCCCCCACAGTCCAAAGACATGCGGTACAGGTGAACTGGGTGGGCTAAATTGTCCTAAGTGTATGTGTGTGTGTGTGTGTGAATGTGTGTGTGGATGTTTCCCAGAGATGGGTTGCAGCTGGAAGGGCATCCGCTGCTAAGAAACTTGCTGGATAAGTTGGCGGTTCATTCCGCTGTAGTGACGTCGGATTATTAAGGGACTAAGCCGACAAGAAAATGAATGAATGAATGAATGTTCCAAAGTTTGGACCAAGACATATATGGGGTTAAATACAAAGTATTTTTTGTAATGGCCCGGTTGGACCAATGGAATTGGAAAAATCTAATTTAGTTATTTCTTAATCACATATTTTAATGTCAAAACAAAAAAAACTCTAGTTGTATAGACTTTTTTTTAAAATAATCTTTCTTTTTTAATGACAAGTTTACCATTGTTTAAAGTATATTTATTATGAAGAAAACAACATGAATAATCAAAGATATATATTTATCTGCATTTGGTCCAAATGAATTGAGTATAATTCTTATTCAACCTAATGCGTTTCTGTTAGAAAACCTTAAGTTTCATGCCTATTTATATATCTTATAAATAGTTTTAGTTTTTAGTTTTATTTTACTGATTAGGGGATTTAATAAAAAAAAAAACAGCTGTTGTGAAACAAAACATCTCTTTGCAACATTTGCAACACAAAGAAACATATATATATACTTGTGTATATATCAAATTATTTAGATAGACTGTTGGTGATTGGATGTGTGTCGGCCCAATTGGGTAACTTTACTTCTACAACTTTTAAAATGAAGACCTGCTTAAATTTAGGACCAACAACACAATATTTCTGTGAATTTAAGACTTTTTAAAAATATTAAAATAAAATATTTTACCAATTTTAATACATTGTGAAATATAATGTATTTCTGTGATGGCAAACTGAATGTCTATATGCACACAGACTTTTAGTTTTTAGCCAGGCAGTCCGAGGGCTTCCGGTGAACTGTCTTTCCATTACAAAATTGTCACGTTTAAGATCTGATTTCTTTAAAAATGAACGATCTTCACTGCTTGTTAGATATATGATATGAATGGGTCTCAGATTGAGTGAGAAGCACTGCATTAAATTCCATTTCCCCCTGCCATGTCTTTAAAATATGACAGTTTATTTTACCCCAGTATTTTCAATGAAATTTCTGCGTTAGCCTGTTGATACTTTCATCTCACACTTACACTTGAACAACTTATTTCTATTTAACTGAATGTGTTGTAATTACACTGCAACATCGAGGCTGTAAAAACAACCTTGTGAAATTGAAAATAGCTACATTAAGCTTTCAACAGAAGTTTATTGTTGGCTTTAAAACGCTAGTTTTGCATAGAGCCCTGCATGTTCAGAATCCCAGAAATTAAAATTCAGAATTTAGTGTCTTTATTATTCTACAGAACTATTGCAGTGCTGAAGAACTTTATTTTAATATTTTGAAATTGACAATCAAATCTAAATGATAATCTAAATATGTTCTGTCTTTCATAGCAACGCGATCGTTTCCTGAGACACAGTGACACTGGACCCAGCCACCCCTTCGACTGGTCCACTCCCGATCCAGCACTGCCGTCTGCAACAAAGAGCAACTTTACTGGATCAACAAACAGCACACGACCACGAGCATGGAGTGTCCGAACCTTCCGGGATCTTCTTCCTCCTCTTCCTCAACTCCATAAGAAATGGTGCAGCTGGAACTCAACCAGCCCATTCACCAAACTGGTGGACACTGTGAGTATTACAAGCCATTTATAAAAAATAAAATTTAAAATCACCCACATAAAAGAATATTAGCTCATCATTTATTCCCCCTCATGGGGTTTAGAATCTTTGAGATTCTTTCTATTGGTAAACACGAAAGAAGATAATTTGAAGAAGGCTGGTAGCTGGCACCCATCGACCTCCCTAGTAAATTTTTATTTCTTTGGTGTTTAACAGAAGTACGAAACTCAAAAAGGCTATAAACAAGGGTGAGTAAATGATTTCTGGGTGAACTATTCCTTTAAAAAGATATGTAAAGATCATGCAATTCAATTATACCAAGGTTTTGTCCAAGGGTTTTTTTTTTGTTTTGTTTTGTATTGATGAGAAAAAAAAAAAATATATATATATATATACATATATATATATATATATATATATATATATATATATATATATATATACATACATACATACATACACACACACACACACACACACACACACACACACACACACACACACACACACACACACACACACACACACACACACACACACACACACACACACACACACAAAAAATGCTGGGTTGTTGTAACCCAACATTGAGTCAAATATGGACAAACCCAACATTAGGATCATTTTGGTCAAATAAATTCACACATTTTAACCCAACAGTTAGGTTTGTTAATATTTTACCCAACATTGGGTTACAACAACCATACCTTTTTTTTTATAGTGTGGGGTGTCTTGTTTTCATCCTTGATGCAGGTTTTGACTTTGCTATTGTGTTTTTGAGCCAGTGAGACAAATTTGTTTTATAACTACTGAATTTAGAAAAAGTAAATTGAAAATCAAGTACAAAGCATTCAAGGAGAGTAGAAGGAAACCTTGAAGAAGGTTTAAAAAATAGATAACGTTTGGTGTTATCAACATAATAAAAGTCAAAACCAAATTTCCTAAAACTACAGCCAATAGGTAAAAAAAACAGTAGAGGTCCCAAAACTGAGCCCTGCGAAACACCAGAAAGCTTGGAGTTTCTTTTTTCTGTTGAACACAAAGGAAGATATTAGTTTGGAAGTTGATTGGTGCCGGCTATCAGCATTTTTTTCAGAAGAGAGAAACTCAAATAGGTTTTGAAAAAAGAAAAGGGTGAGTAAATGATAACCATTTTAATTATTGAGTGAACTATTCTACTATATATATATATATATATATATATATATATATATATATATATATATATATATATATATATGCAAAGAGCATAAAAAGACTTTATTCAAGTGTTTTTTTCATGCTTAAATGGAAACTTTAATTATAAAACATATTGAGTACAGCACTATTTAAAGGTATCATACCAAAAATACTTTAGGAGGACTTAAGCTTAGTACATTGCTTTAGAGAAAACCCAACATTAGGACGAACCCAAATATGGACAAACCCAATATTAGGATCATTTTTCCAATTAAATTCACACTTTTTAACCAAACAATTAATTTGTCATTATTTGACCAAACATTGGGTTTTAACTATATATATATATATATATATATATATATATATATATATATATATATATATATATATATATATATATATATTGGGTCAAAGCATGGACTGGCTGTCTTGTTTTCATCCTTGATGCAGGTTTTGACTTTGCTATTGTGGATAGGAGGGAACATTTGAAGAAGGTTTAGAAAACAGATAAAGTTGGGTGTTTTCAGCATAACAATGAAAGTCAAAACCAAATTTCCTAAAACTATAGCCAATAGGTAAAAAAAAAAACGGAAGAGGTCCTAAAACCAAGCCTTGTGGAACACCAGAACCCACATGAATGGGCTTTATTTAAACTGTTAAATAGGAACATCAAAACAAAGCTGTACAATTGACTTTCTCTGTAAAGTATCGAGATGTTCGGGTATTCAGATCTTCTTGGATTTTCAGCCATAAAACAATTTTTGGAAACGCTAATGGAAGCTTTTTCAAAGTTTGTTCCTTTTTTTTTTTTTCCATCACCCACTCAGGGACTCTCGAGCACAGCTCCAGAATCCAGAAGGGGAAAGACCCTCCCTGATGCTTCTCTTTGTAGTCCCACCAACAGCTGCCACTCTGACTCCTTCATGAGCAATGCCTCATACCCTCTAACTCAGCCTGGCCAGCGCCAGCGACGCCTCAACTCCACCAGCAACCTCCGCCGCACTCGCTTCAACACACCATGCTTCGGCCTGCTCTCTGGCACCTCCGAGACCTCTAAACCACAAGCCAATGGAATCCCACCGACAAACATGCTCCCCGACACCAGCGGCGCTCCATCCAGCCAGCAGCAGCTCCCAGACGAAGCATTAAACTCTGAAGAACCCCCAGTGTTCGCAATCTCAGAAGAGGAGGACCGGCAGCCTCTGGTGTCGCCAGAACATCCCGAGAAGCCCTTGAGGATCAACGGACAGATGTTTGAAGGCCCAAAAATGCCACTGCTTTCAAAAAGCCACGCTCCCAGCATCCAGCCCACATCTTTAGTGAGCTTATCAGAGGATCCTTCAGCTCTCTCTTGCTCACAGTGACTCAAAAGGTTTGAGCGTGAAGGTCATGTGACCGATTCAGCCAATAGATGATGGGGAAATGCACAAAGTGAGTTCCTGGTGTTTTAGATTGAACAAAACGCGTGACGATGTAGCCTGGAATTTCAAAGGGGTTTGTTTTGGAATATTGGCATGAATGAGAAACGAAAGCACTTCCTTTTCTTCGTGTTATTGTATCCGCACAGTTAACTTGCTAAGTATAAAGTCTTCTAACAGTATGTTTTATAAGTACTCCTGTTTGTATATGATACACTTTTAACTGCTCACTTAATGTTTCCACTCACTACTGAGAGTTTAGAGTTGTAGACTCCCTGCATTGTTGCGTTCATTATGAAATTCCATATGTCGGCTCTATGAAAAACAGCGCTTGTTCCTAATCCGTTCACAACACGTAGAAGACCAATTAGTGGATCCGAATAAAAGCTGCTTGGCATCTCTTGACTTCCACACGTGTTTTGTTTCGTTTTTCACCATGGGTCCAATACATATGGTTTTATCAGAAAAAAAAAATAAAAAAAAAATTGTAACTACTTTTATTTCTCATGGTACTTCAGTTCATTTAGACTCTGTTCTACAAATAATTTCAATAAAGTTACTGTTATCACTTCCTCTGTGCCGTCTGTGGCGATCATTTATGCTGCTAAATATGCACTGATGCGATACCTGAAATGGTGTATACCATCATATTTTTATAACGCGTTCAATTCCATACATGCTGCAACTGTTTTCGTTATACTGTCGACTGTACTGATTTTGATGGATTTTAAAAGGGAACTGATCACTGTACAGACATTTCAAATGCAGTAACTAACATTTCATGTATAAATAAACCATTGTATAGTAAAGGTGTGTGTGTGTGAGTTTGTACAAGCGCACAAATGACCGAGTCAAATATAATGTAGTCTTTTATTAGTGCAGTAAATTAGACAATGATTTATTCCAAACATGAAGCACAGCAAGCTTTTTTTCCCCACCAGTACAACATTAACAGTGCTTTACTCTTAGCCTGATGAACACTAAATGTCTTTCTTCCCCATTTGTAGCCGCAGATTAAACTTGATGAGGTAGAATTAAACACCCCCTTAAAAAAAAAATCTCAAGCAAGTAAATATTTGCTGTAAATTCCATTTCAGCAAATGCAAAGCAGCCTCCAAAGCTTCTCACTCGAGTCCATTCCCAAATAAATCCCTCAACCCTTCCTGCAGATTTGAGTTGCTCATATGAGACCCGCTTTATAGAGCTTATATCATAATAACGCCATTCAGCTAACCTAAAATCACCTTGCAGATGTATTCTAGAGCTTAAAAGGAGACTCTTGTTGGATATTTTATAGCAAAAGGCATTAAAAACAAACGTGCATATAAGTAAATTATAATAATTAATAAATCTGATAAAAATACTTTATAAAATATGTGGAATAATAGTTTCTAAGCATCAAATCTACTGTGGCATAACTTTACATTTCTTTGCTTTTTTGAGCAAAAAACTAAACATAAGCACAATTTACAGAAGGCAGTAAAACACCATACAGTGTGTTTATTTTGTAACCAAAAACAATCAAAAAAAACATCTCGTCACCCCATGTCCAACAACACACCGCGACAAGATTCCAGCAACAAGCAATTTGGCTGTCTGCCAGACACCACTTCCAACCAAAAGGTAAAGGCTTTTAATCTAATAACTACATATGAATCCTCTTTAACATTATTAATAGGCTACTGCGTGGCTGATGTTGTGAGTTTGCGCTGTATCACAGTTATGACTTTCATTTTCAAACCCTCTGCTAGTTATTTTCAAGATCTGAGGTAAACTTCAACTAGAGGTAAATCTTTTGCTTTTAATAGTAGGGTCTGACAGGAAATGTCACATGAAATGATATTAAGGCCCAATCCTAATTCCACCCCTTAGCCCTTCCCTTTATCCCTACTCCTTGTTTGGGCGGTCCCTTGAAGGGGTAGCGATTCTCTTTAGCTTAAAGGCGTAGGGCTAAGGGAAAGGGGCTAGATACCCATTTGAACGGAGATTTTTCAGGACCACACTCGAAACCAAGGGGTAAGAAAATTTCCCAGAATACACCATCTCCAACGGCGAGATCACTGCACCCGGAAGTAATCCACAAATTAATATTCTTTTGTCATTATTATAAATTTTTACATCAATCAAGCATGTTTTTTTTTATTTATTCATAACCGCCTAAAACTCACATAGAGAGCACTTAACACTGAATAAAGCGCATAATCTTTACATGAGGTGATCTTTGTCATAGTTGTAGGCCTATTTGCTGTTGTTCTGTCCAGACAGATATTTCGCACGCTGCAGATGGCTAGGACAAAAATGATTTTTAACATGGAAGGATAGCTTTTATCGGGTGTGGTGGAGATGCGTCACGTGTTGTTAAGACAAGATGTCAGGCACAGGTCAAAGTAATTCATTTGTTGACATTAAAATACTGCAGTTTCAAAATACTGATTATTTAAATCTTTACGTTTTGCCACTATCCTTCAAAACAAGTTTAATCCATTTGTCAGCAAAATGCTTCAATCATTTATATTTAGAATGATCACTTTAGATATTTTGTCGAGTACAGGTCATAATGAATATGTTGTTTAGTTTTGCATAACCTGCTACACTAAGGTATGATGGAACGTAACCTTATTTATCCCTTTAACTGCCAGCTCTACCAAATGGTTGATTATATTTTGACTGTTTTAAACAATGACTTTTAAAGAATGACTGTTATAAAGAATGATTTACACACACAGCATTGTTGGTTTACAAGAAAAAAAAAATCCAACAAACATAATCCTGTTGCACTACTACACTTGAATATGGTTTTATTGTAAAAAAAAACAAAGAAACAAGAAATCATGATAAATGAGAACCTGAAATATTGTATGGCATACTTCAAAAATATAGATGATTTAGTTTTTTAAAATAAATGTTATGCTATATATCTTCTGATTTTCACAGTATATGTATTAATGATGGTACTTTTACCATAAACCGACGTATCAACTGTTTGGTAGAAGTTGTTATTTTAGAAATTATGAGATGTGAGATATGAGAAAAAAAAACATCGATTGTGTTAAATAGTGACATTAGGACTTAAGAAATCCAACTTAAAAAAATTTAAAATTGCTTTTTTACTATGTAAAGTTTTTTTTCTTCTTTCAGTTAAAGGGTTATTGCAGTTTTTCAATTTTTTCCACAAATATTTGTAAAAATTAGTAAACCCCCTTTCGTCCCACATACTGTGATTTAAGAGTAATTTTATAAAAAAAGGAGCATTTTGCATACCAGTTAATAAAATAATATCAATACATAATCGGTCAGAAGATTTAGAAGTGTTGTTAAAATAAGTCTACACTCCTGACTATTTTTACTTTAATACTATTGCTTTCTATTTACATATATTTTAAAATGTTATTTAGTCCTGTAATTTCAAAATTGAGTTTTAGCACCATTACTCCAGTCACGGTATTATTCAGATATCATCCTAATATTCTGATTTGCTCTTCAAAAAAACCACCATCATCATCATCATTTTTTTTAAAGTATTATTTTTCTGAATGTTTCCTCATATAAAATATCTTAATATTCTACACAACATTTGATTGAAATTAATACATTTATTTAAGAGTGCTTTAAAATGATCAAAAGTGGCAATAAAGACATGTATAATATTTAATTATTAATTCCATTAATTAAGTAAAAAAGCTGACAAAATAATTTTTAAGAAACAAGTTTGGTTGATTTGTAGTTTTCTAGGTTAATTTCTGAGGTTAATTTTGTTTCTTTTGAGGGGTTAGGTTGGAAAGTGGGTGCCATTTTGATTTGAACTGCTACTTTTCTGCTGTTTATGCCAGTAAAGGGAGTTATGGTAATGCATTTAGTTTTTTTTCAGATTTGGAACAGGTTATCTTCAAGCTCCATTTTGTTTGTTATTTTGGTCTTTGACTTACAATATTAATTAGAGTTATTAAACCCCCTTTGATTTTTTTCTTTTTCAAATATTTGCCAAATCTTCACAGTATGTCTGATGATAGCTTTTCTTCTGGAGAAAGTCTTATTTGTTTTATTTTGGCAAGAATTAAAGCAGTTTTTAATTTTTTTTTAGATCTTTTTAGATAGTCTACAGAACAAACCATCATTATACAATGACTTGCCTAATTACCTTAACCTGCCAATGAACAAATAAATGCAGGTTTGGTGAATAGAAGAGTCTTTTCAGAAAAATTCATCTAATTTTTGACCGGTAATCTATAAAAATAAAAAAAATAAATAAAGAAAATCATATTCAAAGCATCTATGAAAGCATCTACCAATTGCATAATGGAATATTGTGTTGCTAGCAATGAGCTAACCTTCACTGCAAAACACAAAATAATAATACAGGATGATGCAGTTGTCCTGCTACAAATATGCTCCAGCAGAAGTGTGCGCGTATGTGTGTGTGAGCTTGAGGAACTGAGCAGGATTGACCTGAGAGTTGTAGGAAGTTAATCTGAGCCTGTGAAGAATGCTGAGTGTGAGCAACAACACCCAAAACATGCAAAAAACAACAAATCAAACGGCCTTTACACTGCTTTCCTGACATTATTCGATGACCAATCTGAGGCTAAATGCTCCCTGCAAACAAAGAGTGCAGAAACCATGTGATGAATGTACTAACCTTACAGAAAAGTTATAAAAATATTTTTTTTTATTAAGAATTACTTGATTGAGAGTAATAACGTATCCATAACGAGGGAAAGAGAGAGAGAGTCAAGTCTTTTTTTTTTTTTAAATGAAAAGTTACATATGCATTAACAAAAGGTATATAAGCAGAGATTTGCAAATAAGAGTAACAACATATCCATTAAGTCTAGGCAGGAAACAGGTTAGTTTAAAAAAAAAAAAATATATCCAGAATCCTCAAGAAAGATCTTCATTTGAAGTATACCGGGGCATTTATTCTATGATAGCACAAGTACACACTACTGAAACGTCTATTTGATGTGTGCATTTACATCTGGAAGAGGTTTTCTTTCTTGATTTTGTTGTTTTTAGAGCATTTGCCAATCCACAATAAAGTTGTGTAATCTGTATAATATTCTGACAGGTCTTTGGGCATTTAGCTAAGATCTTTGATTCAAACTCTCTTTAAAATACGTCTTGCAGATGTTCGTGTGCAGCTTCTTATAAATCAACTACAGCACCCATATGAAAAGTGCTTGTGTGTGTTGCTTCATGAAAACTTCTAAAGTGTTTTTGACCAAAATAGCATCTAATCCACTTCATCGGCTTGAGCACACAAGCACTGCATGAAAAAGTCATATAGTCAAATAGTTATATGAAACAATTACTTGAGTAAGAGTACAAGGCCAGTTAAAAAAACAAAAACAAAAAAACACACTAATATTCCATTTTGAAAAAGAAATTCATGTAATTAATTGAGCGTAGTTGGTTACTCTAACCCCATTTTTTTTAGCCAACATTTTTTCATGAGCAAAAAAAAGAAAAAGAAAAAAAATCTGGTAATAGTTGGAAGCATTCACATACATACGCTGTGTCTAAAAACAACAACAACAACAAGCATCAATACGTGATACAAAAATAAGACTGCTTTATCGTAGTACAGGAATAAGAATGACTAAAGTTTGTAGAGGAATAACAGCGCAATGTGTGTATTAGAACAATCCTTTTATTTACTTTCCTTGGCGATAACGTAATGATGACATTTATTTTTAGCTCTGTTAGGCTTAAATAAAAACGGTGTTTTCAAATAAAGATAAGTGTTTGATCAAAGGTTTTACGAGAACTGAAAGGCTACAGTGCTTCACCACTTCTTTATGAATTTCCAACTAAAAACTGGACAACAGGTGGATTGGATTACTTTTTGGCGAAAATTGATAGCACTGGATCAGTATAGCAATCTTTCCACTGCACACGACAAGCGACAGATCGGAAGTCATTCTGGAAGCTGCGTGGAGTTTCGATCATCTCCGTATGCGAAAAATTCAGATTCGATTTGAGCTTAAAACTCCTGCAGCTACACCGTATGCGACCGGTTGACCGGATGTGATGTATTCCAGTGTTGTACAAGCAGGTCCGTGCGCACAAAATGAGAAATAGGATTTTTTTTTTCAGTATTTTTGGAATCAGAAAAGGTCTATATTAAAAAAAAACATTTCTATTCATAAATGAGTAATAAACAAATATACATTCTCTCCACAATTTTTAGCAGTCTATGAGTTTCTAGTATTCGTTCATTAAACCATGGTGAACGCACAGAGAATAAAGGCGCTTGCTTTTGCACTCCTTCATTCTCTCCTATGGTGGACGACAAAACTGAAAATTCTGTGCGACTGCCACAAGAGGGCAGTCATGTCAAATGTGTTGTGCAGTGGAAAGGCAGCTTATGTCGAGTGGCGGGGAGTAGCCATCCACGCACTGCACATGCTGTTGAAAATATCACCACTGTCATAGCATGGTACGGAACCAAGACCAAAAAACAAAACAATAAAACCAATAAAAAACACTACATACCCATTGCACTAATTGTCAGACTCCTCTGCAATGTCAGACAATGACTCTGATATGTAAACATTGCTTTTTTTCGGTGCGTGCTAATTTAGTTTACAAGTAATAAATTTAAAGCGTTCTGTTGATATTTGGGTTATTGTTGTTTTACAAGGTGGTATAAATCAGGTGAGGTGGAAAATGTATACATCTCATATAAATTTCATCTATTTGCCATCTGATTACAAGATAGATTAATGTTGGAGGTATTGTGACGAAATTCTGTCAGAATAATTTTGCTTGGATTTTTTTAGAGACATGGTGTACATGTCAATTTATTTATGATTTATTGCATTATACATTTTGAAGACCTAAGAATGAACAGATAGAATCACTATGTTTAGACTTTTAATGTAACTGTGGTTAGACTTTTAATGTGCAATACAAGGCATAAATAATTTAGTATTTTATTGAATGAATGTATGAATTATAACGGCCCATTCACATTTGGCTTCAGCATCAACGCTTGACTGAAGTTGGGGCTAATGTGATCATCATAGCAGCGTCAGCCAATGAAATTCAGTCAGCAATAGGCCACTGTCTAGCAGGAGTATTTGCATACAGCGATCTGATCGGCTGACGCTTCCGTCGGCGCTTAAGAAGTTGAGCTAGTACCAACTTCTGCAGCGTGCAACTCCTCTGAAGCGCCCCGGCAGATCCACAATGCCGTTCCGCAACGCCTGACGTCACCCATTCAAAGTGAATGGGAAGCGTTGACGCTGACATTAGCATTAACTAGCTCACATTAGCTATATTTCCATCCACCTATTTTTATGCACATTTTGGATATGCGCATAAAAACCGGTTGATGGAAACCCCAAGATGCGCATCAATTTTGAAAACGCACATAAAAAAACACATGCGCATAACTGAGGATAAACTTTTTATTCAATAAGAAAAGATGCGCATAAACTACGATGGAAACACTTTTACCGAACAAATTGAAGTATGCACAAAAAGAGATTTTGTTATAAGAGATCATTTAGAGATGAAAATGTGTATGAATGGACAAACCAGCAGGCTGAGCACACTGTAAAACATCTCAAATGTTGTTTTGGCCATTCTAAAACGCCTTAAACACCTTCTGAAGCGCAAATCATTTATTAAATGAAGAAAAGACGATTTTGTTCTCTTTGACTGGTTGGATGGAAACATAGCTAATGTTAGTCTTAACTTAATCGACTGAAAAACATTTGCTTTTGGCAATATTTAATTTAATTGAAAATATCTGATGATATCAAGTGATGGCTTGGGTGAAATATGCTTAGCCACGCCCCTCTAACCATTAGTTTGCTGCTAGTAAAAGACAAGGAGCGCAAAAATAAACCCCGCCCCCTACTTAATATTCCATTTTAGTGGAAAATACATTAACATACTGAACTAAAAGTCCAAAGCAATGTCTGGTTCACAAAGACTTCTTCAATACAGAAACTTTTAATTAAACAAAAAAGAAATATATATATATATTTGAAAAACATTTGCAAAGTCTATGATA